TATTTTTGATAAAAAATCTATCTGAGCTGTTTTCTATTTTTCAGACCTTCCACGCTGAAATTCAAACTCAATTTGGGGTTTCTATTCGCACATTTCGTAGTGATAATGCCCGAGAGTATTTGTCTTTACCATTTCAGCAGTTTATGAAATCTCATAGGATTATTCATCAAACATCTTGTCCGTACACATCTCAACAAAATGGGATAGCTAAAAGAAAGAATAGGCATCATAGTGAAACTGCTTGTACCCTACTCATACAATCCTATGCTCCGTTGTATTTTTGGAGGGATGCAATTCTTATATCTTGCTATCTTATTAATCGTATGTCATCTTCAGCTATCCAAAATCAAGTTCCATTCTTTGTCATGTTTCTCCACTTACCTTTGTTCTCTCTTCCACCTCGTATCTTTGGAAGCACTTGTTTTGTCTATAACCTTATTCCAGGAACAGATAAGTTAGGTCCTCATGCTCTTAAGTGTGTATTTCTGGATTTCTCAAGAACACAAAAGGGGTATCGATGCTACTCTCCTGACCTCCAGCGGTACCTTATGTCTGCTGATGTTACCTTCTTTGAAATCCAATCATACTTCACAGGTTCAGGTCATCACTTAGATATTTCTGAGATACTACCAGTTTCATCTTTTGGAGATTCAGTTACTCCAGCTCCACAACCTACAGCTCCAGTTGTAGCTCCACCACTTATAGCTCCAGTTGTAGCTCCACTACCTACAGCTCCAGTTCCACCACCTACAGCTCCAATTGTAGCTCCACCACCTATAGATCCAGTTCCTCCACATAATCCAGTTCAACCTTCTGCAGCTCCACCACTCTTGACTTATCATCGTCGTCCACATCCAGCATCGGGCCCAGGTGATTCACGCCCCGCATCAGATTCTGCACCTACTACGAACTTGTCTCCTGTTAGTCAACCAATTGCACTCCGCAAAGGTGTACAATCCACTCTTAATCTTAATCCCCACTATGTCGATTTAAGTTATCATCACCTATCGTTACCTCATTATGCTTTTATATCTTCTTTGTCTACTATTTCTATCCCTAAGTCTACAGGTGAGGCACTATCTCATCCAGGATGGCGACATGCTATGATTGACGAGATGTCTGCTTTACATGTGAGTGGCACTTGGGAGCTTGTTCCTCTTCCTGCAGGTAAGTCTACTGTTGGTTGTCGTTGGGTTTATGCAGTCAAAATCGG